ATAATTAAGTCTGATACACGCAATCACGAAAGATTTTTTTATCTTTTCTTCTTTCATAATTTTAATTAAAGTGTGTTCCGAACATTGACCTAAGAGACGGATAAGTATATATTTTACTTATGCGCCGTATTATATAACAACTTGTAAAATACGCAGTCGGACGCGATTGAAAGTTCTATTTATTATGAATGCACCATACGAATGCAATAAAATTTTGTAAGAAATACTGTATAAAGAATTGTACGAAGATTTTTATAAAAACTTACAGTAAAGGGCTGTGTCTTCGAAATTTTACGACTGCTCTTCTTCCATCGTCTATTATGCCCTCCTACCAGAATCGACTTTAATTGCAGAGACAATCATCCCTCGTAAAGAAAAAGTGTATAGTTCTTCTCTGAAGCTTCCACTTGTCATTTTACGGTACATAAATTATGATTCAGGGAAATAATTTCAACAGAAACTGCCCATATTCCATAAATGATAGCTCGCGTGATTATATACTTCTAGTGTATGATCGGGTCTTCCAAGTATTTTACAAAGCAAACGTGTTATTAGGCGCTTAACAATTTACGCTGACAATTAGACGTGTTAAAATTGTAATGTCCCTCGGTTTAAAAGTGGTTTTCTGGTAAGAACACAACGATGTTAAATGAAAGTGGAGATGAGTAAAAGCATGGCATTTAAGTTCAAATTAATATTATCGAAAATTGATATTATCCGGATAAAATGAATATAAAAAATTATATCTTTATAAATCAACTAGTTTTAAAATTCGTTGGATTTTATCCAATAAGTATCACGAGATACTTTATATGTATTAGTTGCATTATGCTCATTATTATACCACAGATAATGATGATTTATGCTAACTGGAGTGATCTAAATATAGTTATGGAAATAGGGTAGAATATTCTTAAACCATAAATGAAAGTGTAATGTGTAAAAGTACCTTCCGGTTTTCGTAATCATTTTTTAGATCAACTCTACTTACCATTTTGCTCGCTATGTTAAAATCTATCATTTGGATATCCAACCGAGATAATTTGGCGATTCTTATCGAGTTCATGATAACGGATTATTGGAGGATAGTTAAAGCCGATACATTCAAATATTTAGAGGAATATGCAACGTAAATAAATGTCAATGCTATGTGGCTTATAATTGGTTTATCGTACTAGATTCTCAACAAAAATTATATGTTTAGATACGCTAAAATGATTACAAAGGGATACTTTATTTCGATGATCAATGCTTTGGTATTTTTCTTTAGTTTACCTATTATCGATGTCTTATTTCAAAATCAGGAGTCCGATAATGTCACCGTAAAGAATTTCCCATTTGCTGCTACGTATCCTACGACTTTTTACAAGTTCCCCTGCTATGAGGTACAGCTTTCTTCCGCCTTCCCATTGTAATTAATTATAATTTTCAAGTTGTAAGTGTACAGATCGCGTATGTATCTCAAATGCTGGCAACAAGCATTTGCTGCCTGATCATGCTTGCAACTGATGGTTTAATCGCGACTGCGGTACTTCACACGTGCGGACACTTCGCGGTAGTCAGAAAGAATATACAGCAGCTCGATTCATACATTCACGATGTACGTGATGTTTTCTACATGAACGTGACCATTTAATCAAAGATGATTGCAACTTGTAGGTAACTAGTTCAAAAAATGGCTCGCAACACATAAGCGCGAATTTATATGAGGTAAAAATTCAAATGGCACATGTAATTAAACATCATCAAACGGTACTCCGGTTTTGCGATAATATGGAAAAGAATTTTCATCCAATGCTCTTTTTACAAACAATGGCCAGCAGTCTTCTTATATGCTTCGTCGGGTTTCAAGTATCGATAGTAAGTACAGTATCGAATTAAGGAGAAATGCTAACTATAAAATTGATTATACCTTTTGATCCTAGACGTTAACGGAACAATCGAAAATGATCAAATTCGCGTCTCATTTGATAGTGGCCTTTTTCCAGTTATTACTCTTCTGTTTCCCCGGTGATATATTGATTCGAGAGGTGAATATAATACAGATTCACAATGATAGCATCCCTCTTTACAGTAATCGTCATTACGATAGAGTTTCAGTATAAGTACAGCTGCATATTCTACAGATTGGTGGCAATTACCAAATTTCGTCGAGCACGAGATACGCATGATCATCTTACGTTCTCAGAAGCCAAGTTTTGTCACTGCAGGAAAAATATATGTGATGCATTTGGAAAATTTCACGGCGGTAACAATTTTATTGTATAAATCACATAAAAAGATATGTACACTTTACTAAATACTGTTGCCCGAGGCAGACTGAATTTATCGGTTGACCAAATTTACAATTACAGATACTCAGCACAGCGTTTTCATACTTCGCGATGCTTCGAAGCTTCGAATCAGAAGCTTGATTGGTTCGTATGAAAAGCTTAGAATAAAAGATTCGCTTATATGTACGCGCCCCATCCGAAGTACATCTGGCAGAGATTGTCTACGTTCGTTGCCTCCAGAATCAAATGATTAGTTTGCCCCTCAACGCTCAAATTCAAAGCAATGTTCTCTAGCTTTTTTCCATGATATCTAATTAACCCTTTCAATCGTTGCTCTATATTTTTGATGTGTTCCACGGCCTGAAGTACATCATGGCATCAAGAAATGGTCGTTTTCGATTAATTCGTAACTTACCTTCTCGTTCGTTTTTTCACCACTTTCGCCGATATTATTTTTATTCCAAGTTACAAGCGGATCATACACAAACGGTGTTAACACGCTCAACAACGTGCTACTCTGTTGTCGCAGGACCCTCATAGTGATTTCACAGGCTCGCCTAAATGGACCCTCGATCTTTAACGGCCCCATGGCATCAACCATATTGTGCGTTAAACGAAACGGCACACGTTCCGGCCACTCGAACAACTCTCCCTGATAGTAAAGAAAATATCTTCGTGTACATAGCCTCTAGTCTTATTTTGTCGAATAAAAATGAATCAATTTCATGGTCTCCGTGTATATTTTACGTACCCTATTGAATAAACAGTTGAAATCTACGTGCACGCAATCTCCGCACTTAGAATCAAATAGTATGTTCTCTCCGTGGCGATCCCCGAGTCCAAGAATGTATCCTACCATGGACATCACTGCCGTGGTTCTAATATAAGCCGTGCGTGCTTCGTACCTAGTCGTTTCACGTATATTCCGTTAATTTCATTTCATTTCCATCATCATTCATTTCATGAAACTTACCAACCGTACGCGTCGGGAAATGTGAGACGGAACCAATCTCCGAGGACAGAAGGATGCCGTGGAAGTAAATGTTCCAGGAATATCTTCCTCTTCTTTTCCAGCGGATCTCTCAGAGCTGATGTGAAACATACGAGTAAGAACTTTATAGTTATCTAAGACTTATTTTTATACTTACCACACAGTGAAGCTTTGAGTTCTCTTTTCGACATTTTGATATTTCTTTCTTCGTATAAACCCAATATGATAGGTCTAAAGCCTACTAAATTCGGCACCCATTCTATCAAACCGCATTCTTCATTAAGAGGCACAACGCTCTACGACACGAGAAGACCTTGTTGTAACATATGTATAACGTTGTTCTTTCCAATATAAACGCTTACGTATGTCCGAATGTACAGTCTTCTTTGCCGCGACTCCGGATCATTTTGCAGATATTTATTTACGATATCGTTGAATTCCATCAATCTGAAATCTATTCGTAGATCGTCTTTCGCTTTACACATAAAGAGATACTTCTTGCCATCTGATCCTTTTAACGTAATGCGTCGAGGTCTTTGAAGGGACGGCATGATGACCACGTTGTTCTCTATGCCCGTTACATACGTCCAATTTCTAGAGATAGAAGGAATCGTGCTATCTTTGTTAAATACTTAATAAACGATGCTTTTACTTACGAGGAAAATGGATTATGATCCTCCAGCGGCATTCCTTTCGATGGGAGATGTAATTGCCTGAATTTCGTTGTTGGTATCATTATTCTCAAATCCCTGTTCGAAAGCAAATGAAGAAGATTCTTCGATAAAACATCGACCGAAGTATTCGTAATGCCCTGAATAAAAAAAAGACAAGTATAAAAGATATGAAATAAATGAAATTTACTTAACTCACATCTGAAATATTTTTGTTCGATAATTCGATTAGTCGCTGCCACAATTTATGGAAGTTTGTAATCAGTTTCGTCATTTCTGGCGTTTTGAGTTTTGCGTTACCGAGGATCTCTTGGCATCGTCTCTGACGCGCAGGATTCGAGGACTGCAGGAAAATTGTCCGTCAATATATTATTCGATCGCTGGTACTTGAGAACTTACGTTAATAACCGAAGCCATCATCCATAAACTGTGTTGAGGATATGCGTGAATCAGTTTCACCAGTAAGTTGCAAATGGTCTTCTGTACTTCGATGGAGGGATGGCATATTCTGGATACAAGCTGGCTGAACGCCGTCAACCATATGAATATCGGTAGTCTCTCTTGATACACCTCTGCGAGAACGAAATTAATATTTCACTAAAAAGTTTCACGCGAACCATCGAATATGCTTACCCATTATCTTAGTCATTTTTAATAACGCATCTTGCCGGGATTTCTGTTCCTGATTAAGCCCGCTATTAGACGTACATGATCGTGATGCACGGGAAGCAAAATCCAACCAGATAGTCAACATTCTCGGCATAGATTGATGAACGTACTTGCAGCCGTATTGAAGCGACTTCCCATAATAATTCATAGTGTGCACTTGTATATCTCTAAATATGTTATTAATTATTAATTATTTTCTGTTCAAGATATCATTCGACTCGTGCTTACCGTCCCCTTATGTCTTTTTCTTCGTCGGGCATTTTGTCTATAACGGACTCATAGTATTGCGCGCAGAATAGTAAACTCTTCTCCCATTCCCTCCATACTTCGATAGCTTCTTTATAATTAAATATATTAGCATCGGTATCCACGTTCAACCTTTTGTCGTTATATTTTGCGTACAACAATTTCGCCTAAAATAAATTGGTAGCGTTAGATGATGTATTACAGATGTAACCTTGGATACAGACCTTCGCGCATTGCTTCCTCTCTTCCAAACGTTCTCCCGTCGGTAAACTTTTGTAGAACGTAGCTGGTTGAAAACAATTAGAGAAGCACCGCTTCAGTGTTATCAAAGCATCCTCCTGGCAACCTTTTTGCCAGTACAGTTGAGCTTGTTCTATGTAAAGTTGTTGCGGTGAACATATATCGCTGGCTGACAAGATGTACATGTATGCTTGCTGGTACAATCCACTCCTGGCAAAACGTAGAATTATAGATAGTGAAACAAGACGATCGAATAAATTGCATAAAGCAATACGTACTTCCTTGCTATCTTAGCACTCTTTAGCCAAATCTTGCCGATTTCTTGCTTGAGTACCGTATTCTCCGTGTTTTGAGTCTCTCTTTGCAACTGGAGGGCTAAATCTAACGTAGACCTGCGCATACTCAACACGAATTCGACACCACGCGAAGCACGAACGAGCTGGCCACGTGTCTCCCATTCATCGAATATCATCGGCAATTGCTCCACGTTAGTTAACATAGTAGCGACTGCTTTATCAAACTCGTTTAGTATATGCAACCTGTTCAATTCAATACAATATATTAAGAATCACGTGGTATTTATAACGATTTGAGTATGAATCTTACTTCATGATGTACGAGTAGCTTTGTTGGTAAGCTCCTGGACGCGATGCATCTCCCAGCAGCGAAACTAAATTCTTTTTTATACCCGATAAGTCCGGTTTGATGCCTTTCTTTAAATCTTCAAGCAGTACGTGCTTTATATTTTTCTGCGAGCCATCGTCGATCCTGCTAAAATCTGCTAAATTCCAAAATGGCTCGTGTTCCATCATCAATGGCTCTAACTCCGGTCTACTGCACAAGAATCCTTCGGTGATATGTTTCGCTACGAAAGGTTGATCTAGTCGTAAGTAGCATTGAATCATCCCTTGCAAATATGCATCGTTCAACATTTCCTTTTGAGCCAATCTTTCGTAACAAGTAGCTGCATCCTAAATGTTCCACGAATGTCATTTATATTAAATGAACATTGACAAGAGAATATGGTTGTACCTGCAGTTGTCCATTGACTTCGTGAGCTAAAATTAATTGCTGTATCGTAGGCGTATGATCCTGCGTAACTAATATACCGGATATGGCGTCAGGCTCGTCCAATTGCGCATATATATTCTACAACAAACAGAATAATTCACAAACTGGTTCGTTACCATTACGTTAATGTTGCTCTTACAGCGAGTAGATTGCCTTCTAACGCTTCCGATAGTCCTTTATTAGAAGAAGACATGTGTTGCTCCAAATACATCAATGCTCTGTAATATTCTCGGGATTGATAACACCCTTCGGCCACTACTAACGCATTCAACGATTTGCAAAAATCTGGATCAATATAAAATAATTATTCTATTAATTCACGGTAACGTGGATTTGAGTCGACTCACTTTTTAGCGCTTCGTATTTGTTGTTCCGGATTAATCGCTGCTCCCAAAGCCATCGTTGTAAATGATCTAATACTGAAAATATGATCTATTCGAAAATTGTAGAAGATAATCATATTAATCGAACGGTAAGATTTTTATTACGATTAATACTATACATACTTGAGCACAACGTATGCGCCTTGTTTCTTCCGAAATTCTCGTATTATCTACTTTTACTCTGTTCGTATGCCTAAGTGGCCTATGCCGTGACAATTCCGGATCGAGTGTCGGCTTTTTCCTGGGATCGATGATCGTCAACATCTCTTCTCGTATTTTTGCCGATTCTTCTTCAGTCCCCTTCGTTACGATGTACGTTACAACGTGCGGTAAACAGAACGATAATATCTTTATATCTCGCTTAAATGCTAGTTTACACGCGTGCAGCACGGTATTAAGAGTTTCATCTTTTATACTCTTAAACATACTGCAAAGCCAATTGTAAGCCCAACTTTCTACCGAAGAACCGTCCTCAGAACCGTAGATCGGATGGGGAAACGTTTTATCATCGCTTACGGTCGCGCATTTATAATGCGAAGTTAAGAAAGGAGTAATGATCTGTTTCATAGTCGCAGGCAGATTGTCCCATAAATCTAAATTCCTACCTTTCGGCGAGATGTTGTAGGCTTTTAAGATCTCTTGGATCGCAAGCGAGAAACAGTCCATGCTCTGACTACTCTTCTGCATTTGAAACGCTCTCGCACATTCGACAAGCATGGCACAACCGAATTCATCGTTCATGTTAGCGATAAATTTACTGTCGTCTCTAGAAATAATGTGACGAGGTAGAAGGCTTGGTTCAATGGCACCTAATTCTCCTAAACATTCACCGTACAATAAACGAATGGATTCATCCTTGTGCTGACACCCACTTAATAAAGTATGCATCAGCTCGACGATCATCGGATGAATATTTGTTTCGCTCAAAATCATCTCGTTCAATTGGCTACGATTCTCTGCTAAAAACGTTTGCATGTGTACAAGAGCCTTGACTCTCACTTCGTCCGTTTCGTGGATTATACGTTTAAGCCATAAATTCAAATTTGGCTCGAAGCCGTTGGGTCTGCTTTGCAAGATCTGTGCTTTAATTATGTTCGAAATCCCATCGGGGAGTTTAATATCCTCTATAAAGAATAATTCAGCGATGTGATCCGGACATTCTTCGTGGCACGTCGCGATTAAAAACTTTAGCATAGTAATTACTTTTTCATGGTGTGCATTCAATAACGGCATTAAGGAAACGAATATCGTCGGTAGCAGTGGACCAAGTTCTTTCATAGCTACATTGTGAACGAATGCGTTCCATGCGTCACATATGAGAGGTCCAAATCCTACTTTCTTGAATCCAAGCGCGGTCCGTAGTGTAGCTAAGATCTTGTACCTCAAAGGCGTCAAGTATTGTGCGCCCATAAATCGCATCAGTTCAGATAACGAGTTGAGCGCTGACTGCTGCGTGTCTTCATCCGATTTTAATCCAAGTTTTATATCAAAATTAACTAATATGCCGTGTAAACGCAAATTTATATATGATTTGATTCCTTTTTGAGCGATATAATTCTTCTCCAGGCTGCTATCGTACTCCGATATAATCTTTAATAATCCAACTACCATTTCCGGAGACTGGTGGAAGTTTAACATCAGTTCTTCGAATATGCCCATAAACGATTGTCGCATCAAGACTGATAACTCCGTCCCCGTGTTCCTCGCGATTAATCTTAAGCACTCGGTGCTAGTCACAAGAGGCAAATACAAGTAAGCATAACTGCATATGTGTGGGAAATATTCCTTCAACATTTGTTTCTCGTCCATGCAGATCAAATCGGCTACATCGCGCAGCAAACTCTTCGTAGTGGGCAGTTCAATGATCATCGGGAGTAGAAAGCAAACCGCGTAATGCCCGTCTCTCCGAAGTAATTGACGCGATCCTTCGTAACCGATACATTTAGCAATTCGATGCACGGACGTTGCCATATTATAAGAATAATATATAAAATTGTGAACGGCATAATGCATTATCAACTAAAATAAAAAGGAATTTTTAGTACTCTGGAATTTTTCGGATTTTTTTAAAGATATATTGTATATACCTTAAGAAAGCTTTTCTTGTATCTAACGTACAAGACTTTTGGAGTAACATTCAAAGACTTGGCGATATCGTTGTAGGTGATGGTCGCATACGCTATAGCTGCTGATGATGATGCCCCGTGTAATATAGATATAAAGAATATATTTAAAATTCGTCTTTCCATAATCTGCAGCCGAGCACTGAAAACGAAGCGGAGTTTATAGGTCGATTAGCATCGGATGTAGTTAAGTACTACAGATTTACACGTACCTTGCACAATTCCTTGCAGTCACGAGTACGGTCTTGTGTAGGGAGTGATTCGAATTTGTTAAAGCGTTCACAAGCGCACCTGCTATAGTACTGATACATAGTTCGACAAATTCCTCTAAACCGATCGGTACCTCGATTTCAATAGATGCTACGGACTTTGATTCGATGTTTATTTTATTTAACAGCAACCCTTTTATCGCCGTAGAAATGTTTGAACGAATTTTAGGATTCTCATCTTCCATGTACGGCAGCCACATCTTTGCTACGTTGTTATTATTAAATGATATAATGTGGTTCGAGAATGCAAGGATATTCTCAGATACGTATAAGCATACTGAGGGAAAGGGTGAAGACAATAAAGTAAAATAGACTTTGAGAATACTGTCGTACTCCTCTGAAACGTAAGCAGGAAGATTGCTTTCAGAAACATTCGTACAATGTCTGCACTGTACCGTCCACTTTGTATTATCCGATTCCCTGTTCCCAATTATTTAATTAATTATTTTCTCTGGACATAATGAGTGATGCAAGGAAGATTTACCTTATGAGATTCGCGTGTCCTGACAAACAGCAACTTATTTTACTTAAAACGACTACGAGTGCTTCATGAACCTCGCATTTGTCTATTTCTAACGCCGGTTCCAAAACGTATTTTGAAATATCCTTCAATTTTCCATTTCTCAAAAGTAGAAAACTATTCCTATAATGGTTTACATGATTTAGACATAAGTCAATCGTGAGCTTCGAACGTAATTTACTCACTCCACAACTCCTACTGTTAGTTCAATTTGATGAGTTGTTATACATGAATTCAATGACTGTAATAGTTCTATTCCTTTACCACATTCGCATAAAACTTCGATGCATTTTAATTTTATAGCTGTATCAACAGACATAACAATTTCTTTCGCAGAATCATTGATTATATCTGCAGGAATATCATTAAATGGTAACATCAATATCTTCTGAATGAGGTCTTTGTTTGATTCCTCATGAGCCATCATGTGAATTAAACTCTCGAAAGTTATATACTTATTCCGACATTGTCCGGAATTTAAATTCTCTAATATCGTCTTCAACACGGCGTCCAATTCGGTCTGGTACAAAATTGCTGGCATATTTAATTTTTTCAACGAATATTGCAAAATACGCGAGGCCTTTAAAATATGCATACACGTTTCAAATTTTCCCTTCTGCGATGCAGTCATTAATTCGCTTTTCATTAGATTCCATGAATTAGGTATATCCGCACTGACTGTGTGCGCAATATTAATAACAGAGTGTGCGTATACAGTAATGAACTCCTGTAATGATTTTAATGTAATAAAGCGTGGTAGAATTCATTATAATTCTTGAACTGCTACGTACCGGACAGAAATCGGAATACGAAATGAATCGTTTGATCTCGTCTGTAGTACAAATTCTTGGTTCCAAGGTAAAATATTGTCGAATTCTGTTACATACTGTTCTTTTCATTATATTCACTGCGTCAAAATTCACATCCTGACCTAAATACAATTTATATGATATATGTTTTGTAGTGAAGAGATTAATTAAAAACACTCACATATTGTCAACTAACGTTTTAATTCATTTACAGTAAAATCAATGATTTTAAAGCACAATTCGGTGCTGTTTTGAGACAGCGGACACGATGCGATAAACTGAACAAATATGCACAGAAATTGATTCAATTGCATCCCTGATATTAGACCTAAATTTATCCACATGGGAAGTGCTTTAACAGCATCGATAGCATAGAGTACCAAGCTTTCAACTTCCTTGAAGTAATTCAATAGTTAATATTGACAGTAACTAATATCTTTTAACAATTATGCCATGATTACCTGTTTGCTATACAATGAAGATTCTACTATTATCGCAGACAGATCTAATGCTACGGACTTTACACTTGGAATGGAGACAGTCATTACTTTCAATATCGTTTCATAAAACATTTGTTTGTCCCAACCAGAAATGTCAGTCTTCTTCATGATCTATGAAGTAAGAGTTTAAATAATGATTGTAAATATAAAATACGAAGACGAAATGAAGGTGAATTACTTTGAGAATAGAAGTTTGTACAAATGGTATGTCGGGATGTTTTACAACAAGTGGAAATGCTTGGAGAACTAAATTTTCTATGATATCTCTTTCTGTGTTAAACCTCGTTAATGTAATACTTCCGTCGTTCGAACTGACTCTATAGAACACTGTTATTTCTGCAATTAAAAATTATATTATTGTCTGCCAGTCAGAGACCGTATTGCTTTAATTATGTACCTTGAAGGAGATTCATGTAATCATTGCTGATTGTATTGAACATTGTTATATGATGCCTAGATAATATCCTGAGCATACAAGCTTGGATTTCTATACTGTTATTCAAAATCTCATCGCTCAAAGGGTTCCCTATTATATAGAACATAGCCCCAAACAACCACGTAGTAAACGCTGTAATCATAATGCCTCGTTTTACTTGCAATGCTTTGGTCGATCTAACTCGTTGAGCAATAAATTACCGCTATATCGACGTCTTAGCGTTTCATTTTCCATCCCATTGCTGAATGGTGGTACTAAAATTGTTGTTAGAGTAGCTGAACCTTTGAGTATAGACTCCAACAACGAGGACAGCATTTGCTTGGCTGTCGGATTGTTTAAATCGGAGAATATCGCGATGACAGGACTGTTGATAAATTTCCATACCGAATCCGCCACTGTCACGTTACTAAAAATATCTGTTTCGTATTCGACCATCGTAAATTTTATTCATTTTAAAGAGCCGGTCGAAATGATCTACCTGCTGTTTTGTAGAACCATCGAATTCTCGTGGATTTCCATGCTGTCTCCTACTTCTTCTACATCGAATTCACAAGTGACGCGGATCGTAACAAAATGAAACAAATATTAAACGTTGTCAAGCACATGTGTATTGTTTAACAACAATTTAAGTTAGTACTGTCACGTAATTGTTCGAGCATGTTTCGCGGCACTTTGTTACACCGTCCGAGACTAAACGTTTATTAGACATTCACCGCCAAAATTGTCGGCATTCGAACGAGCGTCATTGGAATCTCTCCGATGAAAATTTGGCTTTAGTGTTTATGCCAACCAAGTTTTGTGACTATGTACTTTTACCAATATTCCGTTTTTTTCATTAAGAGATCGTTAACGTTTATTAAACGATGTAAATAACGAATCTAAGATTCGTTGGAGTTTGTTGCAGCGCGCTTCTCACCAGTTCGGTTGCACTAGACTTGTTGGCATTCTCATCGTTTAACCTACCAAATTATCTTGTTAATTAAATGAATTTCCACGTATTAGGTTTTCAGAGAAATAGATTAATTTCAGTGTTGACTTTTTACGATAATTAAGTTTACCGTATGAAACGTGTTTAGCCGAATTTTTTTGAGTCTGTCGTACGAAATGATAGAATGAGATGCGAGGTCCTTTTAGAACAAATAGAAAAGCATTAGAACGGAATTGAAACAGTGTATCGCCGAAAATGAGTGAGAGTACACCAGTTAATGATATGCCTGAAAGCAATGGTGGGTCTGAACAGGCTGCGTACAACGGAGAAGCAGAGGAACATGCAAGTATGCTCTCTCATTCTTACAATCCCAGAAGCTGTCCCCCTCGTTAAAAATTATATGCATATTTGTTAGACAAATCACCGGCGAGTGTGGAAGACAAAACACCTGATTCTGTATGCGACAACGGAGTCAAAAAGAGTAACGCGATTCCCGTAGTTGTGAGCAATACTAATATCACAACGAGTAGAGCTAAAAAGAGGAAAAAAGCTCCCAGAGATGCCACTGCCCCTAAACAACCATTGACCGGCTACTTTAGGTAGGAACAGACAAAATTACAATTCACTCGATGATGAAAAGCATACCTAATACTCTGACTAATAAACTGTAACAGGTTTCTAAACGATCGGCGAGAGAAAGTAAGAAGCGATAATCCAACCCTCTCGTTCGCCGAGATTACAAAACTCCTCGCGTCAGAATGGAGTAATCTGCCTGCTGATCAGAAACAGCAGTATTTAGATGCGGCTGAGCAAGATAAGGAACGTTATAATCGCGAATTTAGCGACTACAAACAGACGGAAGCGTACAGATTGTTCAGTGAGAAACAGTCTTCCGAGAAACAGCAAGAAACTAAAAAGGAAAGGAACGGGACTGATATAAGTTCCGAACAAAATGTATGATTCGATTCTAATGATCTATCAACTTACCGTAATTGCTTTTTTCATTAAAATCCAATCTTTTCGTAGGATATTCAACAAGATAAAGATAACGACTTTACGGGTTTCGATATACCTATTTTTACAGAGGAATTTTTGGATCATAACAAAGGTACACACGTAATTGGTATCGTGTAAAAACTGTATTAATACTCAATTATTTACATAATCTTTATGCGCGTAGCGTGCGAGACGGAGTTGAGACAATTGAGGAAAGCTACTTCGGATTACGAGGCTCAAAATGCGGTGCTTCAACGACACGTGGATAGTTTGCACGCGGCCGTGAATCGCTTGGAATCTGAAACAAACCAACAACGTACAACAAATCAGGCCTTACAGCGTCATTTGGATTCGCTTCGTTCTCAGCTAGCTGGCTGTTTCGCCACGGTAGCTCTGCCAGGTACGATTTATTACGATAATTGTTTTAATCGGTATCGTTCGCGTTATACATTATGCTGTTTTTCGTCTTTAGGAACAAACGAAGGTGCAACGTTGCAGAATATAGATAGTTACGTTGAGAGACTAGAATCGTTATTGAACAGCAACGCTGAATTGTCTTTAAGAAATGCTGTCAGCAAAGCCGTGTCCCGTTTCGAATTAATTGGATGACGATCGCCAACCGGTAGTACAACTACTACAATAAAACATCATCGTTCAAGACATTCACATCGAAAATAAACAGAAAATTTTGTTCTTTTTTTACGAATTTTATAAGATATGGATTTTTTCTTGATTGGGCCCAGCCCACGGTTTAATAATCAATACGCTGTATTTGTATTTTACATTGACGCACTGGTCGAATTATGGTTTTAGAATCATGTATTGTGTTTTTTTAAAATCAGTAATTTATAAGTGCTAATTACATGCAATTATGTTACAATCATCCGTTTCTGCAATTTATATGTAATCAATTTGTAGCGTGAAAAGGTGTCGTTACGATACTATTGAATATTTATTAATAAAATTTTTTAATTTACCACTTATTCTTTGCACCATTTCTTATGACAGTTTGAAGCTGATTCCAGGAGTATCTAAAACCGGAACGAATTTGTTTAATGAGAACGTACGAGATCGGTCATGTTCTTTACGATGCCCTCACCTGAAGGATGCCGCGTTAGGACGGCGATTCTTTTCCAAATCATTCAAGCTACGCTCGAATTGCGGTGATAAAGATCGCACTACATCGATCGCTGCTGGCAAAATTGAACGTAGAAGTTCAAAAGTGCCAAGCTGATTTATTATTAATGCTCTTGGGAGGTAATTAGATAAGACACCATAAAACTTATTCCTGCGATCATTGATTCTATGAATTTTCAGTTTGGAAGTAATGATTAAATTTTAATAAAAAAAATACTTGCCGTAAAGACTCATCTTCTTTATAATACGAGTTTTGAATAACACTATTTATGAAATCGACAGTCTGCTGTCTATGCGGATGATGATCATGGACTTTTATGTAACATCCTATAACGGATGATGTACAAATCGAAATAATGCATTCTATTACGTGACACGCATAGTTCCTATCACCTCTTAGTAAGGTTTGCAAAATCACCATTACCTATAATTAAAAAGTTACGTAAACAGTTGTGGATCTAATCATTACACAACAAATGTTGGTACGTACTAAATAAGAATGTTTGTGCATCATATTGTCGGTTGATAAAGTAAAAAAGTTCGATGTCAACATCTCGAAGATTAATCGTACAAAATCCGCTTCTGCGTCTTTAAAACATTTTAATAACGAGTCAGACACTTTGTAAGTACTCAAATTAACAGTCTGCATTGTTAATAACGGCATGTACTGATCGAAAAGATCCCGCATCAGTACTTGAAGCGATATATCGCTTTTAACATTGAGCGGTTCCATCCCTAAGATTATCATAGAAAACGTTTTCTTCGCTAAGTTTTTTAAATAAGAATGTTCCACTGATAATATCGTTTTATTCAACAGCGTTCTGTAGATATTATTCGGTTGGTTCTGAAAAGAGCATTAGTGAGACGCGTATTAGAAAATTTGACTTATTACATTGAACGAATGCACGTACTCACTTTCGAATACATCATAACAGACGTACAAAGAAGTAATGTTCCGATACATCTGTAGATCCAGAAAGCTAATTCCGAGTCTTTAGTTTCTTCCGTAATTGGAGCAAGAATCCATTTCTCTAAGTGACTAAAGTATGTCCTCCACCTTGTGTCATATTGAATTTTTTCTTGTTTATTCTAATGAGAAGAATTTTAATAATGAGCGTTTAAATTATATCTACTTTCTTTGGTAGGGCAACGCTTACTTTCGTATTTCGTTTCTTCATGCAGTACATTATGAATAATAAAATGGACTCGTCGCTATCCATGAACTCTTGAACATCACCAGGTGTGTCGAAAATTTCTATTATTTCATTCAATTTTAATATGTAATCTTCTAAAACTTTTATTTCATTCCCATTCGTATCGCGACCGATGATGGAACATTTTATCCAAGCCTACAATTGCATCATTAAAGCTAACTATACTATTTAGCAGATTCTAAGTTCTGTCTACTAACTTGTATAATAATTGTATCAAAATTCTTTAGCCCTTTTCTTAAATTAATCACCGCTTGTTCCTCTTTAAGTATCAATAATAGATAATGCCTTGTAATTCTGCAAAGAAGATCTGGCGTAATGCATTTCATAACACCACAAATAATCTAATTGCATTACCTTATATCTTTAACAATTACCGACGATGCGAAATGCTGAAATAATGACATAGCCGAATGCATGTACTTCTTTGCTGTTGCTGGATTCCGCAATGCTTCCAAAGTGAATGAAACCGCCAGTTTTGAAATGTCTCGATAATTATCAGTAGTGAGAGCTGGATGAAAAACAAGTTGTCTGACTCTGGATGCGACGTAATGCCACAATGCGTCCAGCATCTGCTCTGCACCGTTCGACGTTGCACTAAGACAAGTGCATCTTTCGAAAATATTCACTAATACTTTCGTCAACGTTCCAATAATCTTGTTTGAACATTCTACTAAATATCGATCAATCCATCCACTAAGTAACAAATGTTCACCCAATTCGAAGGTGCTCGATGACAAAATTGAATTAAATACATCGATAAAACTACTCATCATTAAATGAGACGTATCGTCTTTGCGGCAACATATAGTATTTACCTATAAGTGCAATGAGAAGTAAGGATACATGATGATGCATATAATGAAGATATATCGTATACCATACCGTGTCTACGTACGAAGGTGCTATGTTTGACAAGTTCAATCTAAGTTCGGCGTATAGCTGGAGAACGGCCAATTTCCCTTTCCAAATTAAAGTATACTTTTTACTATTCTCATTATTATATTCTTTCGTTAGTGGTAAGAGATCTAACATCACTGAACACTGGAAAGAAGGCGCGAACTAATTTTATCGGGGAAGATTTGTAAGAGATAATAAAATGTGGGACTTACAACGTTCGCGGTATCAGCAGTAACAGCCAATGTTAGAAACAATGAAATGAAATTGTACAAGCCAGTTATCGAGAATTCTTGAACTTTACTCTTAGAAAATTTTGAGTAGATGCGGCCTTTGATTTGATTCCAATGTTTCTTATCAGTGTTATAATTTACGCGTAAAAAAGATCCTACGATGTATTATTAGAATTAACACTGATCTCTCATTAATACAATGAACTCATGGTTAAAAGGGAAGACTTACCGAGCAAACGTAAAAATATTCCATAACTCGATTCCTTGCCACACTCTGCGTTATTAATTCTATCTCTCACTTGCTTAAGGATATCCAAAGCAGTTTTCCTGTCGAAAAATTTATTTACTACTTGTTATACAAGATACGTTTCTACACCTACTTCTCAACAGATAATGTCCAGGGACCAAAAGTTTGTAATAAGAATGGTTCATCTAATCTCTTATGAAAGCAGTCCCACAGGAGAGAAATGATCGAAACTCGTGGCTGCCACCAATTAATAACAATAGTATTTAATAATGGTATCATTATTCGCAATTCCTGATCGATTTCATCTCGCTCGCCGTCCTTTCCGCCTTTAGAGATGTACACCTTCAGAATCCATTCTAGTTGTTCATAATTAGGCTTGATCTTGAAATAATACAATTACGATACCAATAATTGTTAACGCTGGAGGTAAATGGAACGTGAAAGAAAAATCAAGATACCCTTGTACATTGAGATCCTAAGTATAATCCATCATTGTCGTACCCATATAGAAGTGAAAGATTGTACACCATCCACAAGCAGAATAATTCCGAATTTTTAAACACTGCCACAGTGTCCTTTTGATTATTGAATAGATTCCCATTCAACAGTCCGTTGAGGCATTCATTTACGTACTCCCAGAAGCTCTACAAACGTACAAATATTTTAACCGTGTTCCTTAACAAGGGAAACCTTATTCCATTACCTTCGACTTCATTCTATCAGATAAACTATCGATAAATATTTGTAACATGAGCCACAACTCGCGAACGCAGGTACAATTGTATGGAGTTCTCTGTTGTACTTGTATCAAAGGCATCTAAAATGCAACATAAAGAAACATTAAGAAACATGCTTGGATATCTTATGCTCAGAGAAGAAATGCATTTACCGTTTCAAATATTTTTAATGAAACATAAATTAAATCGTTAATAATGGCTGCTAGCAAACTTTCAAACTCGATCAATTGGTTTTCAAACGAATATTGGCAATACGTGTTGTGCGTGTACATCAATGAGATAAAGAACCATCTTAATTCTATATGCATGTGATACATATGATATTCCCTTTGTTTGCACTGTAATAATCAGAATTTATTTAGTCCAGAACATGAGATTCATGGATGAAATTCGTCTACACACCTGATTGCCTAATTTAGAAGATGCATAATGAAACGTAGCAATAGGAATTGTATGTAGTCTCTCAAGAAAATGTTTGATTGTAACAAACAATGAGCTAAACTCTTCTTGGATATTTTCATTTATAGCTTGCAATTCTTGAAGATCTCCTTTAATACTAGAAAATCATACTGTCATTAGAAACACTAATTGCAACGAGATGACATTAAGAACTGCACTGACCTACCTGTTTAAATACATTCTGACATATAAAATAAATTCAGATACAGTACATCTTGTGTTATAAAAATCGACGTCGTCAGTCTTTGAAGTGAGAACCTGATTATAAGTCTCATGCCTCCCGAGTATCTTTAGTTGCATGCTGTGAAAGGGCAATGAGGGAATTAGAGTGCTCTTGCTACGTTTTAACAACCAGAGAAGAGCTGCTTACTTCATACATGCGACGAAGTGTTTCAAATCTAACAGAGCTGTGGCAGCAGGCACGGTATAATTAAAGAGCTGTACATCCTCCTTTGCTAGAAACCTGTCTCGTGGATACAAAACGTTCTCCACTTCCCCGCGTAAAAATAAACCATTTCTGTTTATTTCCCAATCGTTCGAATTCACTTTTCCATTACAATTAAAAGTTAAACGCAAATCCATCGGTATAGCATTCCCTTCAAAGGGTATAGGAACTATTCAATTCTAATCGGTCTAGCTGAATAAAACATCGTTCTTGTATGTATGATTACAGAAAGACACGAATATTAGACACATTTTGCTGTGTAATTATGAACTTCTCATTTTCGAGCTACATGTCATGTGAACAGAAAAGATACGCGGGAACTTTCCTAACTTTTAGCGGGATTCATACTAATGACGTCACCCGTAATGATAATCAAGCCAAAGGAATAATGATACTTTAATTTTCTCACAATTTAATATTTTTAATGCTAAGTTACATATCTACAAAAACCATGAAGATTTTGATCACACGAATATTTCAGGCGTCCATTGATTCCTCGATCATGTTTATCGACTGGGATTTTAGATGTCGTAACTTGACGAGCGCGTTCAGCAAACGATTTCTCAGTACAACTTTGTAGGCTGCTTGAACGAAAAGCTGAATTTTACAGTAATGGAAAAGTGGATCTTCTTTTCGGGATACCGAAACTGTGATCGGATACTAGAAAAACATAAACAGAGTTGAAACGAGGATAATGTACAATTGAATATCGTCTGTACTTTTTGGGAAGCCCTCAATATCCTCTGTCTTGACTTTTCAACTTTCTCTCGTTCGTTTCTCTCAGAATTCATCGTCAAATTCGTGTAATCGTTCCATGCCTGTTCTTGTTGCAGTTTCATTTCAGTAATCCCATCTTCGTCGTTAGTACCGTAATCTACTTTTGGCTTTTGATGGAACTTCGCTTGCTCATTCTCTCGATAACGTTCTTCTACTTTTACTAAAAATTTCTTCTGTTTCAGTGCTTTCTGCTCTACAGTTCTCGACAGGAACACGCCTAACGGGCCTGTTTAACGAATAAAACTTGTTTACACGTCCATTACTAATCTGAAGAAATATTCAAAAACGTCCAACCTTTTAGTTCATGAGCACTGTACGATTTTCGCACACTCATGTTTAAAATACAATTAACAGCATGCAAGCTGTACAAGGGAAACTGGCTGCATTGTTTTAACAGAGTGTTTTCAAGATTCGAGGGAAATTCTTTCGAACAAGATTTAGATTTATCTTCCTCTACGAGTGACGACACATCTTTCCAAATAATTTGTCTTCTTTGTTGCGTCCTGCGTTTCTCTTCCGAATCAACGTTGTTCAATGCTTCTCTACATATTTATATAGTATCTTATTTATTAATTTGATCCTTGAGAGATTCTGCTTATAAACTTTTCTACCGCAACAGTCCCGGCCGAGTGTACGCGTAAAAATTGATAACGTGCGGAGCTTTGCATAAATCGGAGATGAATATTCGTACTTGGAAGTTCATGCTCATGTATCGAAGTGGCCTATAAATTACCGCAATTTCTACCGGATTCTGTCTTGGTTTTACGCGACCTAAGGGATTATTAAAATGTGTATATTACTTTGAAGATAGACAGGTAAATGAAATCGACTGCGTATACCTAATCGTGGATAAATGTCAACACACGAATTCGTGTTGCATGCTGAAATCGCGAAGGAAAATTCTTTCTCTGCGTGAGAACATATTGGAATTTTGTAATGAACCCTTTAACAATAAAATACGATGAATAAATCGTCTGAGTGTTTGGATTAATAGACTCACTCACGATCGACCAAGCGGTACGTCTCCAAAATTGACAGTAGCAGGCAAAGAAAACTTCGTTATCATCGTGGCAAAGATTTTAATTTGTATCTCTTGATCATCGAAATAGCGTACTTTTAAAACGTCATTATAATCCCTGTTTTCATTCGGTATAAATGAGATATTTAGCTTAAAAACGGAACCAGGAGTAAGCATTGCCTTCTAAAATGTTTTATTTCTATTTTAGAATCTTTCACGACTATGAAAGGTTTTATCACCTGAGCAACGTTCTTAATCTTGAAATAATTCGTTTCTAATGGTAAAAATTGGATAGGACATGGTCTCGTGAAGTAATTAGCAATTTTTATAAACTTCTCTTGAACTTGAAAGTTATCGTAATTGAAGGCAAATCTCAATTTGGATGGCATCACGCTTAATAAATTATCCTTCTTGAATTTCTCATCAAAATCATGCCGCCTCTTTTCCTTCATCTGACTTATGCAATGACCGACATCCATTATAAATTAATTAACAGCGTGCAAATAATTTTATCCGATCAGACTATAATAGAACTTGGATTAAATCAGCTTAAGATCTTTAAGAATATATGTTGCAGGGAAATATTCTCAAGGATAGACGACAGAAAAAGTATTTATTTATTTCGCGTGCTAAGCGAAATCATGGTTACTGATTTTGAACGCAGTCCCTATACGCCTTATTTCAATCGCAGCTCGGAGCAGCACCGTCCGTGTTCCTGCAATACAGCTGCAGCTAAAACATCCAGAACACTTTTAATTTCCACGCCAATTACGCTTGTCGTACACATCGATTATTTGGTTTTTAACCCATAAATTATTTCTCTCTTTATGTAAAAAGCAGACCAGTCGATGTCACTTGACACGTTTATAATCATTTTGTATTAAGTTGTCGACTCTGGCAAAGTTACACTTCAGATCAAACAGTTCAGACACCCCGTAGAACAAAGATGCGCAGAACGAACGAAAACCACGAAAACTGGTCTTCTCGCAGTTATGGACTCTCGTGACGGCGTTTATAGTTTCTGTATGATACTCCTTTCAATTTTAATACAACACGTACTTCCGTTTACTATGCTAATGCTAATCCCTCACGGATCTACATCCTTTTTTTTATAAACAATTTCATAGAGAATGGGAATTTCATTGAAGCGAAAGGGAGACTTATCAATTATGAATATTCAGGACTTGCGTGATGCGGTACGTTGTTTCATTTCCTTAAAATGATTATATTTTATTAAATAGTTTCCCTGTTCATAACCACGATATCACAGGTTATACTCGTGCATTAATCATCTTTTTGAAATATATTAATCTCATTCTTTCGAAGTGATATCGACCAATATTGTGAAAAGTGCATTTATATTTATTTGCAGTTTCCTTTGCTGCAAGCTATATTTTTCGGAGATGTTTACGAAGTACGAGCATTATTGTCGAAAGAGGAAGATGCAAAGTGGCAAGACAAGGAAAAAAGATCTCTGTTGCACGCAGCTGCATACAAAGGAGATCCAGCAATCGTAGAAGCCCTACTTTTAAACGGGGCTATCGCGAGTGCTAAAGATACAAAATGGTTAACACCATTGCACAGGGCTTGTTGCTCAGGAAATCACCGTGTAGTAGAAGTTTTGTTACGGCACAAAGCAGTCAATAGTAGGGATCGGAATTGGCAGACACCTTTACATGTAGCTGTAGCGAACAATGCTATGAAATGTGTAGAATTATTAGTTCCACACGTAATAAACATCAATGTAGCAGATAGGTTTGTGTCTTTCAATTATAATCTTCAGGTAACTGATTCTAGTATGATTTAAGAAATTCTGTGTGTCTGCAGAGCTGGTAGAACGAGTTTACATCATGCAACTTATAATGGACACTTGGAAATGATAGAATATTTAATCCAAGTAGGTTGTGCGATAAATGTTTCTGACAAAAAAGACAGAAGACCCTTACATTTCGCAGCGTATATGGGTCATGACATAATTGTGAGAGCTCTTATTGATAAAGGAGCAGACGTGGATGTAAAAGTAATCTAATGTTCTTCTGCTGGTTTCAATCTTCGTTTCTTGTACTGTAGAATATTGTTTGTTAAGGATCGGGATTTATATACTCCGCTGCACGCGGCTGCAGCTTCAGGAAACATAGATTGTATGGACATATTAATGAATTCGGGGGCCGATATCGAAGCGAAGAATGTGTATGGAAATACTCCTCTGCACATCGCATGTTTAAACGGCCATGCTGATGCTGTTATTCAATTAATCGCCAAAGGCGCAAACGTTGGTGAGGCGATTTTAAAAATCTTTAATTAGCTTTCTATTATCTTACGCGTATCGCGGAATTAATGAAAACAATCTTTCGGATAGAGGCTGTAAATTATCGGGAACAAACGCCATTACATCTCGCAGCTGCCAGCACCCATGGTGTCGACTGTTTAGAAGTACTTTTACAAAACAACGTGAGAATAAACGTTCAGTCCGAAGGGGGTCGCACGCCTTTATATATGTCCGCAATTCACGGGAGATTCACGCGATCGAAAAGTTTACTCGATGCCGGGGCACCACCGGACGTCGAGGACAAGAACGGCAATACTGCTTTGCATGTAGCGGCTTGGTAAATTAAAGTAACGGAACGAATTTTGCGTGATGATCATTTCCAACATTTGTTCAAGTCGGACACTTCCCGTAGGTTTGGCCATGAGTGCTTAACGACGACTTTGTTGGAGTATGGCGCGTCTCCGGCAGCACGTAATACGGAGCATCGCACACCGTTGCATCTCAGTTGCTTGGCCGGCCACATCGAGGTAAACTTGTCGCTGTGGATCGTGCTTTGAATTCCACGATGATCTCGTGTATAAAATTCGCAGGTTTGTAGGAAGTTGTTACAAGCTGACAGTCGCCGCATAGATTCGAAAGATATCGGTGGCTGGACACCGTTACACTGCGCGGCGTTCAAAGGATCGGTCGACTGTTTAGATCTATTATTATCCAGCGGAGCGAATTTCCGATTAACTGACAACGACAACAGGCTGGCGCTACATTATGCTGCTAGTCAGGATCACTATCTTTGTGTTTTCACGTTGATCGGATTCGGGAGTGATGCCAACGCGCAGGATATTGACGGCGCGACCCCTTTGCACTTGGCCGCAGCAGCAAAACCCACGGATACTAATACTTCGTACGTAATTCGTTCGTTATTTTAAGTTTGAACGCGCGTGCTTAATCTGTCGCTTTTTGTAGATGTGTGCAGTATTTATTAAAGCATAAAGCGGATCCTCATTTGCGCGATAAACGAAACTTCACTACCATTCATTACGCGGTAGCTGGTGGAAATCAATTAGCGTTGAAAGCTCTGTTAGAAGTCTGTCCACCTGAACAACTGACTGTGTCATCAACGGGAAAACCAGAACCCCCGTTGCCCGCGTTAACACCGTTACATCTTGCTGTATTGAATACATTTTGGACGATTCTATCCTGATAAGTAAAATAATATTTATACTAATAATAATTCTATTTTCAGGCTTATTACGGGCACAGCGAAATTTTAAGCTTACTGATGCCATTTTGTACCATATTTTCTAATAACGATATGAGGGATGAGACCGGTAAAACGCCACTAGACCTAGCCGCATACAAAGGACACGAAGAATGCGTTGATGTTTTATTAAAGTACGATGGAGTTCGCGTGTCGGTTCAAGATTTTATTACGAGACGTACACCGGTGCACTGTGCAGCTGCGGGAGGTCATAGAGAATGTCTTTCGCTTTTACTGAGAAATGCAGAGGACCCGAACGTGATCAACTATTACGACTCGAAGCAGCGTACGCCTTTGATGCTGGCTACAGCGAACAATCATGTTTTCTGTGTTTTAATGCTTTTGAAGCATAAAGCGGATTGCAATCTACCGGACATGAACAAACACACGCCGCTATTTCGTGCCGTGATTTGGCAGCAACATAAACCGATCGACTTCTTGATTTTGCACGGTGCACAAGTTGCGATACAAGATATATATGGCAAAACACCGTTGCATTTAGCCGCTGCGTGTGGAAAGTTGGTTTCTCTTTTATTTTCGACAATTAAATCAGACCATCCCGTAAATAATGCAAGTATACCTCGTACTCATTTACTTTATAATTTTCAAGAGGGAAAAATATTCGCATTATTTATGGGATGATCCAGTATTTTTATTGTGAATGGAATATAATTTTCTTTTAGAGTGAAAGCCTTATGCTTATTGGTCAATAATGATCCTGCTGCCGCAGCTATAAAGGATAATCAAGGATGCACTGTTCTTCATTGGGCTTGTTACAATGGTCATGCGGATTGCGTCGAGTATTTGTTGGAACAAAACGTGATCGAATCGTTGGAGGGTACGCATTCACTTACTTCCTTCCTTCCATCAATTTTATCGTTCACACACTGCATCATCTAAATCATTTTGTCTGATCGTAGGTAATCCATTCTCGGCTGTTCATTGCGCCGTATACCAAGGATCGGCGCAGTGCCTCGAATTATTAATCAATAAATTTGGAGGGAAGACAGTGGCTGCGTTAAAAGATGTTCCAGGTGGTCGACTGCCTTTGCATGTTGCAGCCAGTTCGGGGTCCGTGGATTGCGCGAGGTTGATATTGAGTTCCGTCGGTTCCGAGTTAGCCGGTCTCGAGACTCCGGATAATTCGGGTAGGACACCGCTCCTTTTCGCCGCTATCACGGGCCAATGTAGCGCTATCGGTATGTCCTGCTCTTCGAATCGTTATACTTCGTTCGTCGTACTATTAAAAACTAATTTTCTTCGAAACACATAGAATTGTTGCTCGAGTGGAAAGCCAACGTGCGTGCCGTCGATTGCAATAAGAATACGGCTCTTCATTTGGCTTGCGAGAGGAGTCACTCGGCTGCTGCTTCGCTGCTACTGAACTGGATCGACACGCTTAATAATGATCACGACGAACAGGAACGTATCGCGATTATTAATATGACTAACGATCAGCAAAGAACTCCGTTACATTTGGCAGCGAGAAATGGTCTGGTCACGGTAAGAATACAACGAATGAATCTAACGACTGGTTTCACTGTGTAAGAGAGGTGTACGAGACTTGGTCTTTTTACAGGTAACCCGGCGCTTGTTACAATTGGGTGCAAGCGTCGTCGCCGTTGACGCGGAAGGACTCACGCCCGCGTTAGCTTGTGCTCCGAATCCAGCTGTGGCACGATGCTTGGCCACCATTCTTGCTGCTCACGGTACGTACGCGTTTTTAAAGATTACTCTACACGTTTTACATTATGATTCTGCGACATTCGTTAATTATCGATAGGACAGAAGTGCGAAACAATGCAACATTCGATTCTACAGACGTTGGAGGTGTACTTGAATCATCGATCCAGCAAACGTCGGAGGTGTACTTGAACGGCAAGGGCCGCGGTTCACAGCACAGTTCAGACACGGAATTCTACTGACCGTAACTTCGGATCAACAAGCGGCATAATACGGACGTTCGTATAGCGAATTTTATACGTAATTGAATAAAAGACACGCGAGATAACGCGGTAACGAAAGCTATCTAGCGATTCCCGTAATTTTTGCATTTACTACTATAGAGCAATCAAAGGAATTTTCATATCATATCCTGCGGGAATGAGCGACGAATTTTTATTGTATATACCGGTTGCCATAATGTTTTCTAGAAGAACTGACGTTCAGCTGCGCGCGATACACGACGGGAATACAAAAAATTAAGGACAAAGATAGCCGATAATAGTGTTCGCATGCCAATTTTTCGCGAAATTATACGTAAGCTAACTGATATTATTTTCGACCCGAGAACATGAAATTATATGTACATTGTACATACATTTATAAATATTTTTATTATGTATGCAATAGTGTGCGTGTTGTGAGGAGCTGTTAGTTGTAAGTCTTAACGATTTTAAGGACTCGTCAATATTGTGCGTTCTGTATTACGTGATCATTTGTAACCAATAAACGATATTACGTTTTATTTTTACATAATCGCTTTGGTTTTTACCTTCACTTGTTGATCTGGAGAGAACTACGAAATGTAATGCAGATATAAAAATTTTTTATAGTCGTATCAAATACTGTACATTACAACTATTTGTATATTTACAATTTCCTTATGGAGAAAATATTCTAATGCACACGTACGTCTACGAATATAAATATTCACATATACACTGTTCCTAGATTAATTTTCATACGAAACATTTATGTTCTTTGTCTGAGTGGTAACGTCGATCTACATTCTATCCTCTCTTGCACCATACATTACATAACGAATAAGTTACATGACTGCTACCCTAAAAAAACCTATCACTTCTTGTTGGCATACTAATTAACTTCGTATCTCGTTCGTCGGAACACATTTTCTAGAGGCACACTGGAATGTCTATAATACTGATGAATACTTCATCTGAGACACAAGTACAACAATACAACATGCAAACCAACATACATATGACGCCCTCGGTATTCTATAAAATATCACAACACGAGGACCTGGTAGACCGGCGCTTTAATCGTCGGCGAAGGAAGTCACGTATAACATTAGAAATAAACGTGTTCTAGTGAAATTGCATGAGACGCGGGTTCCCTGGCCATATTTTTTAAGGGATCCTTTTCAATCTCTTTCACGTCGTCGTTAGTTAAATCTAAACAGAAGTTATCGTACGCGTACGTCATATTGTGCTTTTCCTCCGAGATAGAGGCGAATTTTTGAAGTGTAATACTTTTCGCCTGAATAACCACGGTTGGCAAAGTCTGATCAGTAGTGCTCGTTTCCGGCTTTCCGGAGAACGCACTCTCTATCTGATCGAGACTTCGACCCCTGGTCTCCGGAAGGATGGTCAGGGCGAATACGGCACCCATTATGGCAGAACCAGCGAATATCCACATCGTGCTCTCGATTCCAACTAGCAGGTCCAACTCCGGGTACATCTTGATCGTGGCGAACGTCAACATTTGCGCCAAACTCGTGGTGATGCCGCCTAAATGACCCCTGAACCTCAGAGGATACAATTCGGACGTCATCACCCAAGGAAGAGTGAGATACCCCAGCATAGAAGAACCTACGTGTCCTCCCACGCATGCCAGACATACTACCGATGGCAATTCGAACCTGAGATCACGGGAAAACGTATTAAATCCCGCTCGTTATCAAGTCCTGATCAATGAGTGAAACGATATTCACCTGTGAGCAAGGGCAACGCCGACAGCGGATATCGCCATTCCCAAACCACTGACGGAAGCTAACACTTTCCTTCCGAAGCTGTTCGCGAGACCCGCGCCAGCTACCGAAGCAAACAACCTGATGACACCGATCCCGACGCTCGCCGAGTATTCGTTCAAGTCTATACGGATATCTTTGAGAATGTTCACAGCGTAGAACAATATTATGTAGATGCCCGAGAGTTGTTGAAACGCAAAGAACGTGAGGAGAATCAGGAAAGGCTTCCAAATGCTCGGCTTGTGCAAAGCTTTCACTAAACTCTGTTTCCCGTCTTCCCTCTTCACGTTCGTCGCACAAAGCTCGGCGTACTCGTTGTCGGTGTTCGCGCCAGGACCTCGCAACCACAACAAAGACTCCTTCGCCTCTTCCTTCCGTCCCCTTGCGATCAACCAACCCGGACTTTCTGGAATCATGCTAAAGAGAAGGGATTCATTTCTCCCTGTGACTCTGTATAGCTCTACACATTTGGTAATTTCTATTACGATAATTACCGTGTCAGTGCTAAGGAGAGGATAGCAGGACCAATGCTAATCGCAGCCGCCCGGTCCCACGTGGTCACCGCGCCAAGCGTGTAAATCATCAAGACACCGAGCGAAACTAAAACTGGTCCACAGCTTCCCAGCCAGGCTCTTTGATTCGGCGCGGCAGTCTGAGCGAAAAATTCATATCACAAATTCTGTGATAGCGAAGATGAAATCTCGGAGGAGTGATCAATTGAATACCTCGCTGACGTATAGGTACAAGCCGTTCGCCATGCCCATACCGATTCCACTGACGAATCTTCCCGTGTACAACATGGGCACGCTCTTCGCTAACGCTATTAGCAGCCAGCCCGCGGCATGAGGCAAACACGCCAATGCGATCGCCGATCTCCTTCCAAAGAATTCCGCGCATAGCCCAGCTATCACTGATCCTACTGGATTCGAGATGACGCCTAGCGATGCGATCCACGATGTTTCAGACTGATCCGCAAAATTCGTTTCAAGTAATTTTGGGACTAGAATCGCGCTGAACCCTTGACCGAGGCCGACCGATATTTGTCCAGAGTGTGCTGCCAATCCGGCGAAAATCTATAAGTAGAATCTGATGAAGTTCGAAATCAACGCTGAGCACAATGATCTCGCATGTCCAGGGACCAACCAAAAATGAATTAAAATAATATTTAAGAGGAATGGCCGAGAAGTTAGTTTTTTGAGGATGAAACAAGACGTCAGACTGAACAGTGAGTACGATTTCACGTGCACAGGAACGAAGCAAAGATGAATTGAAACAACGTTTAAGAGGAATGAATGAGAGACTGGTTACAAAGATACGAGGAGCTAGTTTCTTGATACAAGATTAGCTTGAGGCGGTCTATAAAAATCGAGAACGTCTTGAAATATCGGGAGATCCCCCTGAACGGAAGGACGATCGATTCGTCGCTCTCCCTTCGCTGGCCTCGTTTAGAGAGACCTAAAGAGATGTTCTCGACGGATCGAATCGCAATAATTATAAGTGTATCGTTTATTACGCTTGTCCAACGGGTGCTATCGGTATTTTCCTTCCCCACGGACGACGAGGACAATCTTCGTCTTGTTTCCACACTCATCCTAACTTTTAGTCTTTTAAATTCACAATCAAGGTGAACGATCAACACTACTGTTCACTCTGAAGTGTAGAATTTTCAAATCTGATGGGAGATTGATAGTGATTTTACTTATCTGATTGATGTCTATGATAAGAACAGATTTGAGAACTATTAGTGATAGTCACGTAGAAGCGATTGCAAAAGTAAAAAACATAAAAAGCGTTTTTAAAGTGATATGAGAACATAATTGGAACATGATTTCGTAAAATAGATTGAACGTTAACTTACACCTTTGTACTGGTCGGAATTGAGCAGCTTCCACCAAAGCTTCACTCGCGTGATCATTGTGCTTGCTGTTATTCAACGTCTATCTGTAACGAAGAGAAGAGCGATTCTTAAAAAGTTTCAAGCGTGCGATCCAAAAATCTTTAAATTTCTCTCAAAGAATAACTTTATAACGATACTCTGAATGACTCAGTAAGGAATTGGTTTATCGTAAGGAGAGATTGGATAAATAACAGCCGTTTAGAACGATTACTCGCCCTTACGTGAACTGTAACAAGGTAGGAACCGCACAATGGTACAACCCAAGAGATGCTGCGCGGCTCATGAGTCACAAGATGCATGATTTTCTATAGTGACGATCTCATGACAGGTTCGCACGTGAATACAAGCAATTTGTCCATTAACGAATTTGCCCGCCCATTAAATTTCGACGTTCTCTCGTTTCGCGATCCAAGAGTTGATACACCGCGACGAGAGAACCCGCAAATTTATAAAAATCGCTCGCACGATATTACGGATGGTAAAGCTTCATTGTCTCTTTCAGTGACTAACGATTCGATTTAATATTAAGATTTATTATACATAGTTTCGAGTTCTTCCGATTATTCGATGTTTACTTAACTGTCGCTCTTTTTTTGCAACAATTCACGTAAGACTGGAAACGTAGGCATTGTGATCCAGGCAGGACGCTTGCATAAAACTTATGACCGGTATCGTGCTACGCTGCAATTACAGAGATCACCGTTCAATCAGGGAAGCCTATAACTCGCCATGCCACAGCCCACAAAAATACTTTGGATAAAAAAAATTATTGCTTACAGAACTTTCAAGTCGTATCATCATTTTTTATACTGATGAGTTTAGAACAAGAAGGCTTCTGTTTTATTCTGTTGATTTGATAAAAATTGCCACGCGATCGAGACAACGAAACCACTGTTTAAGTAAACGAGATTTTCGTTTCTGCCAATGATCACGAATTCGAATAATGAAATGGAGAATGTATAAAACTGAGTGAAATAAATATGCTGTAACTGGACTGCGGATTTTTATCAAAAATAAAATATTTCTGGTGCCAGTTTAAAAAGCGTGTTTTAAACATCAGTTTCTTTTATCATTTAAATATTGCACTCTGTTTTTTATATTTTCACTGTTATATATTACACGCATTGTTTATACATTTTGCACATTCAATTCCTTATAAATCCATAAAATCCGTCTAGTTATAACAGCTCCGTCGAGCGACAGGTAACGTACACGGCAGCTGAACCCGCGTAACAGGGTTGAGATTGCGCAACCGATTGAACGGCTAGATTCGATTCGCAGTAGATTGAAACGGTCGTCAATAATTATTATTAGAGAGCTTCGCAATCGTTTTGTTTTCGATCAGTCTTATTGATCTTGAACGACGTTTCTATAAAAGATCTTAATGTTTGCACGAGAAAAGCAGTGAACTACACAAACAGTGTTCATACCTCGTTTGAAACATTTTATCTACGAATCAAATCAGTGTGATCAATCTCGTACAATGATTCTATAAAAGATTCTAATCTTCGAACTTCCGAAACAATACGAACCTTGAAATATACTTGCGATTTTTCCCTCTACCTTCCTAAATTGACTCGTCCCATGTTAATCCGTATGGCTCGCATCAAGGAAGTGAAATGAACGCGTTCTTTTCATATCCTAAAGAGATCGATAGATCACTTTTCCGAGCAAGGATGTTCCACGACTAGAACGATCTATGAATCCGCGGTCACGATCACCAACTGGTATGCACACGGTTTATCTACACTCGACAGAGATCAATGCGATTCCTTTTAGTTTCCGCGTTAAAAGTCGCGGGTATTGAATCACACGTGTTTCCGAGTTCGTTCCTCGGGCAGTAAGTACACGTACACCGAGGGAACGGCTCCGTCGTGGGTTTTTTCGCACTCAGGACTGAGACGATTTTCGCCGCCGCGTTCGCATTTATAGTCGCGGTAACTCGCCTCTCGCAAAACGGCGCTAAGCGAATCGCCCTTCCAGGGCCGTCCATCTCGAGGTCTGCCGCTATTTTTTTCACCGGCCAGTCCTTCCTCTCGGAACCCTTCGTGTCCCTCCATCCGTTCGTTAAATTCACTTTTCATTTGAAAAGATACTAATTTTGATGGAGACACTTTTCTAGCTCGTACCTCGACCTTTCACCAAACCCCTCATGCCTGCCCCTCGTTAAACCCAATAACGTTTTATACAAGGTTTCACGTAACGATAAGGTGATAATTCATAAAGATCTTATTATTAATTTCTTGCAAAATGTTGGTTTTTCTGAGTAATCGGGAATCGGGATTTACAATTACAAGTTCGAACAATAAGCCCAGTTTTGCAGCAATCGCGCATCTTTCTTAGAAGATGAACATTATTTGTGAAAAGACAAAGCGTATTAGAAAAGACGTGAGCATCCGGATTCTAAATTCTTCTGGGAAACATGTTTCAGTCGACGGTTCAGCTCGTTACCTTAATAGCTCAAGGTGCACCTTGACGTTCGGAGCACCTATAATGAAATAAGAAAACCGAGACGTCCCTGGTCCTTGTACTGCTTTGCACTCTTCAAACAGAGCTCGTCACCGACCAAATTCACAGAGACAGTTCGCACAGCGAAGCTTTTCATCCGGAAATTGGAATTGAGTCTGAACAATCGAGTCTCGTTTCACGATCACCGTCAGCCGACGGCTACTGGCGCAGTGAAAGGTGCCATTATATTGTAATATCGTGCGTTAAGGACAAAAAACGGACAAGTGTATGTGTACATAATAAAGTGAAGGCAACAATTATACATGTTTTCCTTAAGAAACCATTTTTAATTACTTAATTGTTATTCATATTCCCGATAATATGTAACGTTAATCTAACTCATTACTTAGAACTGTATTTATGCTGCTCACTTGCGATAAATAACAGCATAGTAATTCACAAATACAAAAGAAGATGAAACAGAAGCTTTAAAAAGATTCAATTATGTAATATTATATTGTGTAGTGTGGAAAACATTTTCCAGGTAAGGTTTCTTTAGTGGTAACCGGTGTTCATATTTTTCATTCTTTATCACGTAATCTCTGACGAATGCAATGACAATTGTTGACGAACGTGGGTTTTGATTATAAATATTAACGATTCGCGGTTCGTCGCTCGTCGTTCACGTACGATGATTTCCGCGATCCGTTACCATTCTACTATCCGCTTTACGCACTGTTCGCTTTAATCAAAATTAAGAGACGTGAAAGGAGCAAAGAGCTATTAGGAAGAATATGGCTGCACACTTGTGACATGAACAGCAGCTTCACAGAGACTAATGGTTATAGTACAAATGGTACACTAGAATTGAATTATTTCGTATGCGAGACACTAGAAAATTAATTCTCCAAGGCTTAATTAAAGTTGTATGAACCCTTACATAAAAAAAACGGCAAATTATTGAAATTTTAACAGTTACTATACATTACATTAATAAAACACTGTAAAAAAATTTTAGAAATTTTATAAGTCTATTAAAGAAGTTATTACATTTTTAATTCTTCTATCGAATGACAGAATTTTGTAATTTTGTATAATACTTAATACATTATTTAAGAATATTTTAAAGTTGAAATAATGTCAATTTCGAGGATATTATTTAAAATACACAATAAAAAGTATGCAAAAGTAAGAAGTATAGGACATGTATACAATGTAGATAATTGCAAGTCTCGTACAGCCCAATAAAAAATGCCAAAACTATGTATTAGAATATTAGAAATTATGCGTTAAAAATTCCTTATGACCGAGGAAAACAGATGGAACAATTTTATAATCCTCACTCCTCTGTAATTACCATTTTTTCTAAGAGTTTATTGCTTCAAATATTGGACACAGCTTTTTATTACCTGTTTTAAACTTTTAGCAGAGATCTTACGACTCATACAACCTTAAAGGCCGCTCTATTAAACGAATTAATGAAAATTTGTAAGATGTAAAACAATGGAATAATAGTTTCGTTTCTGATTGGGAGATGTGCACCCGAGGTCCCTTTTTGTTGAGCGTTCGTTGTTTCTCCGCGTTCCGTATTTCTTTGAATCACACACGCATTCGTACCTCCCAATACGATTTTTCCAAGGAGTGTTTGCAAAATTGAACGATCGAATGCCTCCGGCACGTCGCAACGTGCAGTGGCATACTCCAATCTTGATTTCCTTTTAAAATCGGAAGATAAATCGAACTCTCTTCGATCGAATCGCACGCGATTCAGTTTCGAGTTTGTGAATGACACCAACGCGCGATCGATGTTACCTTGAACGAAAGCGATCAATCAGGACTTTAACGAATGCAAATCTCATTCGGGCTTCGTGTAGATCGTAGATTAAAAATTTCGAAAAGAATCGTCGATTGTTTAGTTCCGGTTTGGATGTTTAATTTCTGCGACCAAATGACAAGTAATTTTTCGTCACGTTTAGGTGTCACGTGTCTGATTCGTATCCTGCGGCTCAGATATTTCGAGAATCTTTCGTTATATAAATGAAAATCCAGTGTTTTTTTTAAACCTGGTATTACCTTAAAAGGAAGAACGTCTGTTATCGAAGAACGAGATTTTAGTAAGGTTACATAAAACGTATAAACAAATGTCAAGTAGCCCAGATTTCGTTTCAGGTCAGCTGCCAGTCATTATTATAGTTTCGCCAATCTTATCAAAATGATTAATTGTCATCCGCGCTATCTCTATCATTGTTTCAAGCTGATTTACACCGGTTCAGCTAATTAATTACGCATTATTTTCTTCTCATACTTTCATTTAAGCCGATTGTGTATCGTTATAATGATATTTGTTAACAAGCGTGCTGATGCATGTGTCTCGGTGATAAGGGGAACAATAACACCCATTCATAACTGATTACTAAAACGTCGACTACGATTCTATTAGCGCCCATTAAATGTAGAGAACTCCGTCAAGTCCTCAGTAACTTTTTAAATTAACTTCATTGCGAAACGAAAAGTATTATTATTATTATTATTATAATTATTATTATTATTATTGTACAAAAACTATCGCAATTCGTTCCCTTATAAACGATTGTGCCAATAATTTTTCAAATGAAAGATCCTTATGCTATGTATTGTTACAGTTTTTTCCGTTGCGTCAGATCAACTTTTTACCAAGTTCGTCACGCTGACAAGCCTAATCGATATTTTCCGGCTGTCACGGCCGATGTTCCATCGTCTCTTTCGCACGACAGGGTGGTATCGCGATACTATTTATGTCAGGAACGCGGTGTCGCAGTTTTTCATCGCGAATCGCTTACATTTTCAACCCATTGTTGAATCCCCGATCGCTAGCTTTTTACTCCGGAGGCGCGTCTTTCTTTTCGCAAACAATCCGCTCTTTCATCATCATCGACGCATCATTCGCATTCACTTTTTCCAATGACAATTTACAACAATGACAACGCGCAAATTCCGAAACATTCTTATCGCCGTTCAACGGTAGTTAAGAATATTTTATGTAGCACATGCCTCGTACAATTTTAAAAATATGGCATTCGCACATTTTGGGACTGTTTAAATTTATAGTTGTTTATGGCACGCCGCATAAATTTTATCTTTCCAGGCCGACTATCTGAAAAATTACTTCGCCTGTTTCGTTCGAACAGGTTTATTTCGATGATAATCTACATTCTACCGTATTTGATTGTACAGTGTTATGCAGATTAATCGCATTCGTCGACGATCCGTGAATGAATAAATAATATTAATAAAGTCACGCGAAACGATCGTGGATTTACGCAACGGGTGTGATCGAGGCTCGGATATTGTTTCTCAGTGGCCGTTCTTTAATCTGTTCCTTTGCCGGATACGCCGTAGCCTTGCCATTGATCGGGCACGGTGTGAATGAACGAAAACTCATAGCGAGTGTTTAACCAGGAAACGAGTCCAAGGACCCGTCCCCGTGGCCCTTCCGTTTCCGACCAGTCGACCTTACACAAGATTCTAACTATTTTCAGTCTCCAACGATCCTCTTATCAGTCACGAATCTATTTTTTTCGTTGACACGAAGTTGCACCTCGACGAATTAATTCAATCGGATAGGAAGCACAGTTGTATCGTACTATGAATAGAAGATAAGCTTATTGTCTGAATAAAAATCGAGTCTAGAAAATGGTATACCAATTAATATCGCAACTAGTTTGCAATCGTTGGATCAAGCAACGCAAATGCTGTCACGTATGACATACGAGGGTAATTAGTTTAACGAGATAGCGACGGCCTCTCGCGTATGTAAATAAAAAAAAAGTATCAATTAATTCAGTGACTCAGCCAACGATAAAGAGAACTTACGTGCATTCGTCAAAGCGAAAGATAATTATTATTATTATACGTATACTTATGTACCCTACGAAGCGAATCCAGTTATGAGCGTGATGGAATCGTTATAGATCAGATGGAAGAAAATCAACGGCGTCACAATTACATTAGCCTAATTACGTGATTCGCGCGATTACACTGATAATTTTTGTATTATCCCGTTGCATAATCACTCGTCGCATCCAAGCGAATCTCTTCACGTACGAGATCGGTATTTTTCCTTACCGTTTTTCTCTAATACAACTCATTAATTTAGTTCACTGTACATCATTTTCTCAACACCGGAGGGAACAGACGCAGGATGATATCATGTAATGAATATCATGAAATGATTCTAACAGCAGATAAGTAATTAAAGCTTATGAAATCTATTGCTCAATAAAATATGCATCTCCGATTTGATAAGGAAACAAATATTGTACAAACATGCGAAACTGTAAGGAAGTCGTAAAATTCTGCTTGGCAAATAAGCGCACAGAAATTAAAAAGAGGAATAACATTATCTGTACAGAGCGTTACGAGCGTGGTGTAACGACTTCTGATTTCTGCGCATATCGGATAATCAGTCTGCGAACTCATCCGACTTCCAAGGGGCTTGGAAGGGATAAATCGCGGAGACGTCGCGTTAATTCGCGACTTTATTTTTCCCGACAATTCGCGGTATCAAATGACTCTAATAACTACTGCAACTTTAAAGTCTACCGTGACCCACTTCTTTCGGCTCTCCGCAACGATGCCTCGCTGCCTAATGACATCCCGATCGAATCGTGATTGAGATTTTTCAATTCGTTTCCTCGATTCGTAGAAACGAAGATTCTAGAGAAACAAATTTTAATTAAAGGAATTCATTCTCCCATGATCAAACGTAATCGCGCGAGTAACTCTGATTAATATTAAATTATGAAAAGGCAGGGAGCTGCGGAGAAGGAATTTCCGGAGTATTGCGAGGATTAAGTTTCGTTCGGCAGAATTATGCAATCGCGATGCAACGATAGAGGTAACTCTAACTATGGCAGACGATATACCGCACGTAATCACGTAATCCTTCGTCAGAATTTTATTTCCCTAAATGGCCGGCAATTTACGTATTTTTTTAAACACACGACGATTATATGCTAGCAAGATGAGATGCCGAATTAAATACTGGCGTACATTACACTGCCGAGCAGAATCGATAAGTGATCAATTTTCTGATTCATCTTTCTTCATGGGGAAACGCATTGCGTTATAATATATAACGACAGGCGACATCAATCGCTGATAAATTATGCGGCTCGACATTTTACTACCGTTCTTAAATCGCTTACACGGAATGCTCCATAAATATTAATGAACCAACATTTTACCAACAATGTAACGACTTCTTAAGTACTAATGTTTCGCATTAACTCCGAAGTAGAAAAAATTATTGTCGCAGAATTATTACGTGATATCCGATACTCTCGTTAATTTCACGACCAGTCTTTCTCGATCAAATAGCAATTTAATTGAATACAATTAAGATTCAATACGAAATACGCAAAGTAATTCGCGGTACGCATTTGATCGTGTCTACTACGATTTAAGAAACATTCTCTCACGAGTTATAAGCGCGATTAGTGAAAATTTCACTGCATGTTCGTGTAAATCGGCAAGTAAACACTTTCTAAATCTATAAAGGAATCTGTCGTGAAATCGTCGAGGCGTTTAACGAAACCATAAAACGTCCCGCGGGATTCGCGGTGTGCTAATTTCAGGTTGCATCACGGATGCATAATTGTGTTGTTCTTCCAACTAGAAAAAATCATAGATTAAAGCGAATAATCGACCTTTTTTCCATTTTATTATCCCCACGATCGATCCGTCTTAACGCAAAAAACCGATTAAACGAGTCGAATTACCACAAGTTTTTAATACCTTTTTGCTGCTGCGAGTTTTTTTCCCGCCGTACGGATAATTGTTGAGTATTATGTAGAACGGAAAACATCCGACGAGGTATGCAAGCTGATGCCAAATCAAATTTGCACCGCCTGTCACAATTACGAAAGTGGCTCGAAGTGCTGACAAATTAATTTGCATGACAATGTCCTGATTAGGTTTTTATTAAAACTTCTTAATGACTGCAGATGTCTAATGTCAAATGAGATTACCAAAGCGACTGCTACGTAGTGGAACAGGGGGACACGTCGAGCTTTGGAAATACAATTAAGAAGATTTGAGAGAGAGAGAATTGGTTTTAAGGAATCGTTTGGATCGAGCAGCGATTATTGCACAACGATGAGCCGCGTGAGAGAAGCGGGTAATTGACCAGGGGAAAAAAATGGAAAGACGTGGATGCATAATTGGCGAGCGATTCGCGTGAGGAAGTGACTCGTTGTGACGACACGAAAATCGCGTTTGTGTAAAATCCTAGCGCTTCTTCGCCTACGTGATATCGGTTGCATCGGAGGCATTATGCAAGTCGCTGATTGCCAACCTTGACAATGACCACTGACCGACGACACGTCACGCGTCTGTATGGGTGAAACTCGGCTCTGTGTCATTAACTTGCCGAAGAAATTGATCGACAGAAAAGGAAATTCGTCGCTTCAGCAGTTTAGGTGATCAACGAAGGCTCATTATCGAATAAGATTCAAATTATCTTGTCATTGATATCGTTATTAAAATTGCGGAACGAGGCAGTAAATGATTTGTTCACAATAGGATGTTAATTATCTTAGATCGTATTTAATGGGAGGTATGGGCGGATCTAACTTTGATCTTGATAACATTCACCGCACGATTATTCATAATCATTATATGAATAATCGCGCGGTGAATACATAGTTCTATTGCATTATCGACTCAGTAGAATTGAACGTTTACGGTAGTACGAATTTTTGATGATCAGCGGAGTTGCTGTCACGTTCGATCAAATCGATAACGTTGGGAGTGATACAGAAATGTACCAAGAATTCTGATATTAAATATTTGGTAGATCTTTCATACACATACGCACGGTTTTAATGAAACACACATTTAGTTTGATATCAATCATTTATTGAAAGATCTATGCGAAACTTAACAGCCATATGCCTCCGCATCTGGCCAACGATACTTTGTACATGGTCATTTAAGATGATCTACATCATATTAACTTCATTTTCATCTAAACGGTTTCTAATGTCTATTATGTGTCTCATGGTACCTCTCTTGTAAGAGAAATACTTGTAATCACCGTGATTCGCGATCAATTCTCGCGTTCTATCGCGTAAAGCCGTCAACTGAGCCTTCTCCTGACTCATTTTTATTCTGTGAAGATGTTTCTCATATTCCATTTGAATATTTAGGCTGATGTACTTCGAAATAAATCTAGTAATCGGATGCTACAAGGAAATCGATCATCGATAACTGTAACTACTGCTTTCCTCTGACATTACCTTACGTAAACGATATCTTACTCTATAATATTCCCATTGCTTCGGAATATACCCTTCTGGGATTTTCTCCAATGTCGCTGGGCCTATGAACACGTTACAGTAAGTTATTATTAGCAAGGCTGGTATGGCACCCACGAAGAAATAGAAATGTAAGAAGTCTTTTGTTTTATGCCACTGCCAACGACTCGCAGTTATGTCCATTCCATGATGTCCTGCCATACACCTGACACCCCCTAAAAACGAGATTATCTTACAATCTATACAGTTAATTATTTTATTGTAACTGCTGATCTGATTTATTCAGGTAGGTGAACAAACGACACGAAGGACGACTGTTGAACAAATGAAATTGATGAGAGCTTGCGAACGCAAAGAATAAATCTTTAACGAAATACAATAATATTTCGTTCGAGAGCTTCTGATATTTAAATTCAATGAGGCACTCTCTCTAACTGCGCTGTAAACAAATGAATTGCTCGCACTTTTACGAGAAGTTCTGTTGCGTAACAAAACACGATCAGTCTCCGGTAATTCGTTCCGACTATGAAACGGACACAATTATTGTTACCACCTTGGTTTTGCAACGCATGGCTAGTGTTCTTTGACAGTAGTTTTGAGAAGATTCCACCGGCACCCGACAATTTTTGGCTTGTTCCGAGAAAGAGCCGACTTAGGACAGCCATTTTAGCTCGGTAACTGAGAAGTAGAGAACAACTGTTCCTGGCTAGTCGGGCTCTAACTTATCGCTCGTGTTCGCACCGCACGGTCCAAATCTTCCCGCCACCATGAAGATCTTTTTTAATCGGATCGATCATAATTTCTATAATTGTAACACACACAAGAAAGGTTCTATATATTTCTTTTCTAACTTTAGTACCCTTGACAAAATCTCGGAAAAATTGAAAACTTTTTGTCTCGGTATTTCGAAAAATGCTTCGAGTAAAAGTTGTAGATACTGTTATTTTTTACAAAAAGGTTCATATACTTCACTTCATACTTCAGGAATAATCGATTAATTAGTTCGTTCATCGCCAATTATTTCTTAACTAGTGGAGTTAGAACAAAATTACACAGAATCCTTTTTATATCTGACAAGTACAGTTACAACTTTTTCAAAAACTAGGAAATCTTTCCGGAATATCGAAAATCGATTAAACAAGGGATAGGAGGAAGAAGTTTGCGCGCAACTTGCGAGACATAATATAAATGCGCGTCTAGCGTCGATGAAGTTGGGTCAAGTGACTAATTGAACTCGAGAGATTACTCTAAATTGCAAACACTCGAGGATCCTCGTGATATTCCCTTTGGAAAAAGAAAATCGGACAAACGCCATTCCAGGTTCATTCGATATCTTCCTATTATATAAAGAGAAAGCGTTTGTTTCGATGTTAGCAAAACTTCGAAAGACTGCTTAAGGATGTATGCAAAATTTTAAATCAGTTCATGGATTTTTTGAAAAATTATAGTGACTTCAAATTTGCATGTACTCTTATTACAAAGAAAATAATCTGGTATTTGGTGTGCACGTGCGAAGTTGGAAGAAACAACTGATTTGAGGAAATATAAGCCTAAAAATGGTATTTTTGACGCTTTTAGATATTTTTCAATATTTTTTTT